TAATCTGCTGAGGAGGACACGTACTTCACATACATCAGCCTGTTCGTAGCAGCTTTGACCTGAACACCACGTTTCATTATCTTTACCAGTCTACGCAGCAGCAAAACTGGGTAGGACGTGCATTAATCGAGTCGTGATTCTTAACCGAAATGTACACTACACGTATCTCTTCGTCATCGTTTTGCTTGCGTTATACACAATCACAACCCAATAAACCATAACTGAAAGTTTGATGAGAATAACCCAAGTGATCACTGGCAGGATACCACACGCAGAGCCATGAATGTTACCACTCGGGGTCTGAAATCAGAAGTAAACTGAAAGTTCAAACTGCGAGCACGACTAAAATAATCAAATAAAAAAATAAAAGGAAGGAAAGACCGTCCTGAGTCCAGGTTGTGTTTAAAGGTGAAAGGTCACCTGGAATCTGAGCTGCGAGGTGGGCGTGTCTAATCTCCGGCTGATACACTCGCCCACCACCATGCCCATCCTCCGCACGCGCTCCATGCCGCTGTCCAGCCGACACTGCACTCCTCCCAGCATGCACTGCAACAAGTCTGTGTGGATTTGAGCACAGTGGAAAAAGAAAGAAGCCTCAGTTACTGTCTTTATACGTAAAACACACCAAAGTTTAGATGGATTTATTCAACAAACCGATAATCAAACATCTGTAATTCAGAATCTAATGAAAAACCTGAATCATTTTTAACCCCAACATCATAAATATTCATTTAAATATAATTATAATTCACTGAGCTGCTTCCCTGAGTTCCTTATACGACTCATCCACGTTTATTTTTAGATTATTATTATTATTATTATTATTATAATTATTATTATTATTATAATAGTTACTCAGGGATTTAACTAGATTTAACCAATGACAGCGTTGCTTTAACAATCTCTAACGTGATTGGCTGTGGCGTGAGTCCCGCCTCCTGGCACAGTTCACTCATCAATACTAAAAAGAACATTAAATTAAAAAAAAAAAATGGAAGTAAATCACTAGATCACTTTCTAAAAAAGATATTATTAATGTTTTATAAACTTCTTATTTAATTTTCAATGAATTTGTTTAATTTCTGAAGATGATTATTTATTTTGTGTGTCGAAAAAAAAAAAAATCAATATTATATTCATACTGTCAGGTCCATAAGTATTTGGACAGCGAGGCCATTTTCGTAACTTTGCCGCTTGATTGAAATGAAGCAATCGAGACTTAATTTATGTATCAAACCAAAAAAATCAATATGAGAAAAAAAATGCAAATAAAAAAAAACTGCTTGGTTAATCACAAAGTTATTTAAATAATATAACATAATATAATACTTATATAATTATATAAATATTATTTAATAATTTAATTTGTCTGTGTAATATTTTAATTAATTATTGCAGTTACTAAAAATTATTTATTTTCATTCAGATATTATTTAAAAATGAATTAATCTGTTGATCATCTGATTACTAAGTGCACTAAAAAAATTTAAATAAACTGTTGAATTTTTTTTTGCTCTGCAACAGTATGAGAATTGCAGAGGACATCACTATTAGATTTATACATTTTTATATAAATACATACAAAATACATAACGAGATAGATAGATTAGACAGATAGATAGATTAGATAGATAGATAGATAGATAGATAGATAGATAGATAAAAATATTTATAAAAATTTATGCAAATTCATCAGATTTTGTGTTTTCATATTTAGAAACATTCCTGAGTGAGCCTGTCAGTGTTAGCCACAGTGTGTGTGTGTGTGTGTGTGTGTGTGTGTGTGTTACCTTCCCGTAGCTCTGGTATCTCAGTGTGATGGAGGAGACACACACACAGCAGCAGGGATTTACTCACGTACAGCTGCTGCTCCACC